GGAGGGCAGTCTTCACAATAGAGTCTGGTTCTCTTCTCAGAACATGCCAAATCCATCTCCATCTTCTCATTTTTATTATGGTCGTCATGTCCTCTTGAAACTTGGAAAATATGTGACACAATAACGATGGACACTCGTGGTTATGTGTACATTGTAAGAAAACTAATCGGATCAAATTTTAATGCAAATGAAGTTTAAGATTAAGACGCGTAATAGGTAGACATACAAATAAAGTTAAATTAAGGAAGTCATGCTTGAGTAAGATACGTCTTTCCAGATGATACTCGTTAAAATGCACCCCCCTCCAATTGTTTCTTTAATGCAAGCGTTTCGCGACCCTATCCACACAGTTTAGATCATTTAAGAGGCGGGCTCTCAGGGCCAGCCCAAGCTGAGACCTCGAGTGATATACTGCCTTAGCAGAAAGACTTAGATGTTCGATAAAATTTCTCCCCGCACGGCGATCGAACCCAAGTAGTCTTCTCTGCGTTACACCGGAGCACCTGGCCCCACGGCAGTAACGATCGACGTAATAACAGCATAGCATAACAACAACAACCCGGACTTCTGGTCACAGCACCAAGTGTTGTCGCAGAAAAACTGGGTCAAGATTAATATGATGATATGTGTCTGGTTCCCCATGATGGGGTCGACCGCACAACGTCTGTGAGAAAGGAGAATAGCATAACAACTATTCCACAGGTGAAAGTTGTTCCCGCATCCGATCCGGATATTGGGGATTGCCTTGTTAGTGAGATAACTTCCTGGGCCTTCGGCATATTGTGGTAGGGTGGCCAGTTCCTTTCCACGCCGCCTTTACTTCCCCAACTCGAAGTCAGGTACCCATTACTGCTGGGTGGGCAGGAGAGGGCAACAAAAAAAATCCGTGTCCAAACCAAGGATCGAACCCGGACTTTCCGATTCGGAGACGAGCGCACTAACCGCTCCACCATCGTACCATAGTCAATTGATAGCAGTTTCTGAAACGTAGGGGTGTGAGTTTTAATTTAATTTTCAATTAAGGTAATTTTGCGCCTCCATAGACTCAAAGCGCAAGAAAGAAAAATGAATGTATGTGAAAAAATGAGGTTTCTCCGCAAACCTGTCAATGTCGCCAGAAGAGACCGCATAAGGAATGAGACCACACGCTTTCAAACCAGAATACCATCAATAATAAAATTCAGTGATCGTCAAAGAGACAATTAATGGTTCGGACATCTAACCAGAATGGCCCAGAAACAACTAGAGACAAGAGCTTACCACACCCGTGAATCCGGCTTCAAATCAAGAAGAAGACCTAGAATGACCTGGCTGGATGGGGTTAAAAAGATTCTGGAACAACTTAACATATCTATCACAGAAGCCACATACTCGTACTTAGCACAGGACCGAAACCTTAACTTCCATTCAACATCCTGAGGATGCCAGATGAAGGAAAAAATGAAAAATAAATGAAATAATCAACACAATATTAAATGAGCGAGAAACTGAACTATGTATTCATTCACTAAATGGGTGAACAAGATGAACTGCTATTTACTCAGCGGCGTTTTCAGTGATAATGAATATGACAATGACAATGACGATGAGAATGACAATGACAATATTTATTCTTTTCACAGGGATAAATTTGTCTTTGTCGTTTAAACCTGCCGTGGATGTTCAAAGGTTAGGTGTACTCACGCATACACACAACAAGATATGCCGTTAATAAAATTATGTTTTACGAGCTGAAACAACTCCGCTCTGTAAAACACACACAAACACACACACACACACACACACACACACACACACACACACACACACACACATACAAACAAACACACACACACTCACACACACATACACACACTCACACACACATACACACACACACACTCTCTCTCTCTCTTCCTCTCTCTCTCTCTCTCGCTTTCTCTGTCTCTCTCCCCCTCTCCGTTTCACTTGTAGCACTGTGTGTTCAGTAACATCACTGCGGTTTGTACGAATGAATTTCTATATCTTTTTCTAAAAGCTTTATCTGAGGAAATAGTCTATCAATGGAATCATAGTTACCGTGTCAGAAACCCAGTGATTGAGCGGTCAAGTTTTGTTATGACCTTTCGTTTCAGTAAGAGTTTTACGGCACTTACAACACAATTAATAAAGTCATATTAGTGCCGAAACCATTCTGCTGTCATAGGATTCAGGCAGCTTCCTAGTTTCGCAGTGTCAAGTGCAATGAAATAATGTTCCGCGACCCAAATAATATAAGCAAAGTCTCGGAAGAGTTAAAAACAAATCGCACTTATGTGGGCTTGTGTAAACAGTTGCTAGCTCCATAAATATTATACTTGAGATATTTCCAAGCTGATACTTGTTACTTGTGTGAAGGACCGACATCACTGCGCAAGGGGCATCCCTATAAGCGCTCCGTCCCCTGAAGAAAGTGTGTAGATGCTGACGGTTCCAAGCAATGGTTGATTCCTTAGCCTTCTGCTCCTCCCACTAAGTCTTGATCTTCTACAGGCGCCCCATCCAATTCCATTTCCAAGCTGATATCATTCTCATATTATCATACCTAACTTTTCTTTCTTTTTTCATTCCAGAAGTTGCAAGTAACAAACCAGATCACCCAGAGAATATTCAGAAGCATTGTATCGCAATACTTTGCTAGAGGTTTCTGAAGACATATTCTTTGACAGAGAGTACTCAACCAACTAAAATGGATGTAGGTGACGACAACGGAAACCAGGGGACCCTCGTGGTGGAAAACGGAGAGAAAATCTCAAAACATGATGACTTCTTCGATGACGCGCCCCCCAAACACGCACAAAGCCCAGAACCCGAAACAGCACCACAAACAAATGCAAATGGGGACGCAGAAAAGATACAAGTGAATGGGGACGTAGCCCATGAAGAAACGAATGGAAAGGAAGAAAAAGAAGAGACAGGCGAAACTCAGCAAGCCGCAGCAGAAGATGCTGCTGATGGATTGAAAAGCGAAGAAAACACAGAAGGTGAGAATGACTTTATTACAAGATATTATTTTACCCAGTTCCCCAAAACTTTTCGAAAATTATTTTCAGAAACACAATGTATCAGTGAATGTTTCCTATCTATCCACCTAACTAGTTAGCTAGATATCTAGCTACCAATCGATCTTTGTTATATTTTAAAACATATTTATATGTCATGTCATCCCAAATGTCCCAAAGAGTTGCAAACAACGCGTCTGAACAGGGGAAAACTTTCGTTTCTTCAGCTGCTGTTTCATGGAGCTCCATATATCTATAGGATTCATTTCGGGGCTATTACTGATGACCACTCCGTCGCTTTGCTTTCCCAAAAATTGTGTAAAGGTGTTGGCCCTGTGAGAAGGTGCTTTGTCATGCTTAAAGATGTCTACCTGAATGATATCATGACTAAAATTAGGATACGACATGACGTTACAGCACTTGCACGATGTAATCCTCTAAACAAAGCCATCCGTAGATTCTCACAAATTGGGTTTGTTCATTCCTGCCAGGCCATCTTATATCATGGCAGCTTCGTGGTCTATGTTCCTCAGTGACAAATAATTATGGTCCATAATCAAACTAAAACAGTCCATGCTCAAAAAGGGTTGGTTTTCAACCCGAAACCAATAGCTTGTTTTTAAAAAACCCACTAGGGAGCACATTCAATATTAAGACCAACCTTTGCATGGTGTTTGTGGCTGCTTTGTTTTTCAATCTGTCTGAAAATATCGTATAATCGTAACAAAGTTATGCACTTCGCAGAGACAATAATATTCTCCATTCATTTGATGCGCAACACATGTCCATTCCACGGTTGTTGATACACGCCAACACAGTCACGAACACACTTTTACGTTTCCTTGAATTCACAAACATTTGCCAAGCATAATTTCTTTAATGTCAATTTCGAGTGACCATATCTCGGGCGCCTCGCATCGTAGATGAAAAATTAAGCGTTAGATAGGTATGCTGCAAGACTGTATGATTGGATGAATACATTTTCAAGTTTCTTTTGGACGCCACTATATATAGATCTATATAAATATAATGTGTGTGTGTGTGTGTGTGTGTGTGTGTGTGTGTGTGTGTGTGTGTGTGTGTGTGTGTGTGTGTGTGTGTTATGTATTATGTACAGGTAGAGAGAGAGAGAGAGAGAGAGAGAGAGAGAGAGAGAGAGAGAGAGAGAGAGAGAGAAAGAGAGAGAGGGGGGAGGGGGGGAGGGGGAGGGATAGAGAGAAAGCTACGTAAATATCATGTATTAATATCACTTCTTATGGTGGATAATTATATCCCGTTAAATCTACCTATCCTACAACAATACGCTTCTTCATCTTTCCAAGCCATGACAAATGGGGACGTGGGTCATGAAGAGACGAACGGAAAAGAAGAAAAGGAAGAGACAGAGGATACCCAGCAAGCTGCAGCAGAGGATGCTACTGGTGAGTGAACAGCCAACAAAAAAGAAGATAGAAAACTCCATTTTAAAAGTTTCTATTTGATTTCTCTGTCACTACCTTTCGGGTAACACCAAATAATGACTATCTATCTATCTATCTATCTATCTATCTATCTATCTATCTATCTATCTATCTATCTATCTATCTATCTATCTATCTATCTATCTATCTGACTGCCTGTCTATCGACAGCAAGCTATCTATATTACATTTTGCCTGAAACCAAGCCTCCTCAACAGCATAATTCCATTTCCATTCCAAACTTCTCCAAAAGGGTGGAAGGAAGGAAGGAGGGATGGAGGGATAGAGAATGAAGTGGGGAAGGAAAAGGGATGGGGGGAGGGGGCGGTGAAATAAGCAGACATCAAACAAATCTGTAACTCAGATTGGAATTTTCAGTTGAAAGCACGCCTGTATTCTAAGCGAAGACATAGGCTGGTAAACACAAACCTAACAATGCTATCTTGTAGGAATGATGTGTGTAATATTTCAAGCACGATCAGTTCATCAGATATATGAGGATGTGTAAAATAAGCAATTCCAACTTTCTAACAAATCCGTGTATTGGAAAATATCTTATATAGTCGAACCTGCTCTAACGATCAGCTATATATCAGCTATATAAGACAGCAGCCCTCCTCTCCCCCTTTTGCGTTTTTTAAAACATTAATTAATTATTATAATGACAGTTCTTGATGAAGCAAACGTGGGACGCTCACTGATTAAAAGCAATCAGGAAAAGACAAATGCAGTTTTTGGGACACTTGAATAGACATAGAGGTCTTGAACATCTAGCTCTCACTGGCAAAATTGAAAGCATACAAGGCAGGGGTAGACCCAGAGCAACGCATTTAGAGAATGTAAACAGATGGGTAACGGGGAAGGATCAGGGTAACGTAGCTTTTCTTAAGAACATCCGAGCAAAAGAATGAATTGAGAACCATGATCGCTGATGTCTGCCGCAGATCTGGCACGTGATGATGTTGATAATGGTAGTGTGTAAGATGGCCATCTAACTAAGACGACCACTTTTCTCCTCCACATTGAGTGACCGTTTTATACAATATCGACTTTATCTTTGCAGAGACAGACCAGGCAAAGCCCGAAGACCCAGCTCCTGAAGACGTGGAATCCGAACCCAAACAGGAAGCCACTGACGATCCACCTGCCGGCGAAGACGCGGCGCCGGTCACTACAGAGGAAGCTGCGGTGACCACGAATCAGGAGGAGGAAGAGGCAGAGGAGAAAAAAGAATCGGAGGAAGACGGAGAAGACGTCGAGAAGAAGGAGGAACTTCTACCAGTGGAGGGCGACGGCGCCGAGACGAGGACGACGTCCACACACAGCCACTACACGGACGACTTCTCGCAGGCCTCAGAGGAGACAGCCGCCGCCGCCCGGACCACGCCCACTGGGGACACAGAAGTGGAAGAAAAAGAGGCGGCCCCAGCACCAACGACCCCTGAACCTGCCCCCACGGAGGAGCAGGAGCAAGAGGAGCTGGAGAAAGAGGAGGAGAAAGAGGAGGAACAACATGATGACGACGTTGCTCCCGTGTCTAAGTCAGAGGCCGATGTGGGGGTGGAAGCTGAGGTTGAGGCGACTCCAGCGACAGAGGAAGAAGAACAACAGTCTGGTGGGTGTTCTACTGACTTAATTGCTTACTTACTTTTACTTCTTCATCCTCTGTTGCCGTTAAGCGTCGAGGAGAGATGCAGTTTTCTATGTTGGGCCAGCTCTGCAGCTCTTTCAGTTGGGATATTATGTTTTCTCAAGGTTTTCTTGACTCCCTCAATCCACTTTTGCGTGGCCTTCTTCTTCCTTTATAGCTTGAGTGTTTGGTGTTATAGGATCACGAGGCTGGCTGGCTAGGTGACATACGTAATTGGTGGAAATACCATTTTATTATCTGTTTAAAAAAAAAAATGAAATGCAGGCAGGACTCAGTGCCAATAGCTCCTCTTACTTCTTCATTTCTCTGCCTGTCTCGTCTTGTGATGTTAAGGGTTTTTCGGAGGCATTTCATTTCGAATGCATTGATTTTGCTTTCATGGGTTTTACTTAATGCCCAGGTCTAGAACTGGTAGCATAAGGTAGGTATAGATATTGAAGTGATATGCTGTCTCTTTGTGTCCATGAAGGTGTTTGGATGAGATAGGAGGGGTGCGAGCTGGTAGGTGACAAGTGTAGGCCTTTTGAGTTCGCATTTCTATTTCTCTGTCCATGGGCCGGGGGTTTTTGTTGGGTTTTTTTAAAAAGAAAAAAGCACTGCCAAGATATTTAAACTCCCCAGTTTCAGTTGTTTCCTATTGACATGGGTGTTCAGGGGACTATGGTTTCGGCTTAACATACTTAATGTAGGTTGTAAAGTGTATACAGCTTGTTGAGCTTGGAATTTGCGTTATACAAATGCTATTTATTATTATTATTATTTATATTATTATTTATATTATTATTATTATTATTATTATTATTATTATTATTATTATTATTATTATTATTATTATTTATTATTATTATTATTATCATCATTATTATCATTCTTATTATTACAAGATATAGACTCGTTCTACGAACGGTGATATAGTGATAGGAAATCCCAAGATAAAATGTCTGTACCTGATTCATTGCCGTAAGACCTCTGTGTACACAACATTGTTTGGTATATATGTATGCGACCTCTGGAACTCCGTCCTGTTTGCATGTATTGTAATAAGAGTCCCTGAACCCTTCATATGTATAGGTACAGGTATACTAACTTTGCCATTCTGGCCGCAGAATGTGTTTCTCTCTTCTCTCCATCTTATGGCATTACAATGTTCATAGACGACACTGAATTCACCACAGTCATGTGTCCGTAATCTCCAATCAACTTCAGTTTCACTAAAGGACTGTGCGTTGCACGCTAAGGCCAACGTCGGCCCATTCTTTCTTGGACTACCACGCTCAAAGTAAATTCTGATTGATAGTCGCCTTCCTTCGTTTATTCTCGCTTTCAACTCTGTTTCGTTGGGTTAAACAAACTCTACGTTTAGGGGACATCTTACTACATTATTAACTAAAATTCCTTGGGCATCTTTACTCCTGACAGATCTCGATCTAAATTGACATCTTCTTTCTAACTACTCCAAATCAGTCTTGAATTATGTGCTCCAAATGCTTCTAGGATGTAGAGATCTAGATCGAGAGCCTTGCTCTATAAAAAGCTACGCAGAAAATACGCTCCAAATTTTGAAAACGTCAAAACATCGAAGTGAACATTACGTGGGTTTAAACGAACTTATCGCGTTGGGGACATCACTACACCAAATATATCTAGAAAAAGTCAATACAATGAAGTTTGACCTGAAGTACCCATCGACACTGCGAAGCACACACCCAAACAGAGCTAGATATCGAGAATCTAGATTTGGAAACAGTAGAAGCAACTTCATGAACACGAAGTAGAACTCTGTGACACATACACGGCAAAACACAAACCGGACTTCTGTTCTTGCTAACTACTCCAAATCAGTCTTGAATTCTGTGCTCCTAATGCATCTAGGATATAGAGAGATCTAGATCTAGAGTCTTGCTCTATAAAAACTACGCACCAAATATGCGCCAAGTTTTGAAAACGTCAATACAACGAACTAAACATTTTGTGGATTTAAACGAACTCAACGTGTTGGGGACATCACTACACTAAATACAATGAGTTTGGCCTGAAGTATCCATCGACACTGCGAAACACATATCCAATCAGAGTTGGATATCGAGATTCTAGATCTAGATCTGGAAAAGTAAAAGCAGCTGTCTCTCAAACACGACGAAGCACAATCCGAAACGGAAGTAGCACCCCAGTAAAATATGAAATGGCTAATGGCAGAGTGAAACATCTGAGAGCTTCGATTTACAGGAAAAACCATCAAACCTGAAAAATCAAAAGGTACTTTCGAAACTTCGAAAATATGCCCACGTAACCCTTTGTGACAATTCTTAACTGAATCATAGTTTTGTAGATTTTATGGGCACCTGTGTAAAAAATGTATACTGACCCCACAAACGGGCTTAGCTCCGTTATTATCCGTTATAATAAGATCATCATCATCATCATCATCATCATCATCATCATCATCATCATCATCAACATCATCATCATCATCATCATTATTATTATTATTATTATTATTATCATTGTCATTATCGTCTTTACTACTACTACTACTACTACTACTACTACTACTACTACTACTACTACTACTACTACTACTACTACTACTTCTACTACTACTGCTGCTGCTGCTGCTGCTGCTGCTGCTGCTGCTGCTACTACTACTACTGCTACCACTACTACTACTACTACTACTACTACTACTACTACTACTACTACTACTACTACTACTACTACTACTACTACTACTACTACTACTGCTGCTGCTGCTGCTGCTGCTACTACTACTACTACTACTACTACTACTATTATTATTATTATTATTACTATTATATTTATTATTACACGTGATCGATGTCCAACTTTAACCGTGTATGTGCGTGAACACACTGATTTTTAGAGTGGGATAGAACGAGAGAGAAAGAGAGAGAGAGAGAGAGAGAGAGAGAGAGAGAGAGAGAGAGAGAGAGAGAGAGAGAGAGAGAGAGAGATAGGGGAGGGGAGAGAGGCGGGAGAATATTTGACGTAATCTGAAAATGTCTCTGCAAGCTTTTACTTTTACTGCAGTACCGTAGTTAAATCCACTTATCTTGCGCTAGGACGCTGAAGTTAACAGCATGCGACGAGTGCAAATTCTCGCTATAGATCTAGTCTCTAGGTTTCCATTTGTGGTGAATAATTTTACAGAGACAAAATGCTCCGGTGACAGATGGTCAGATAGACTTGAAAATGTAGATCTGTCTAACCAGTAGGCACGTTGTGTCAGGAGCAGGTGAAATTTGAATACAGATGGACCCCCACTGGAGCACGGCTATATTTAAACACTCTCTACTACCGCCTTATAGCCAGAGATAGATAGAGGCAAAAAAGACTTATAACAATCAGGTGTTTCAGAATCTCCACACAAGATAAAAACCCTGGTTTAACAAAAATGAAACGTAGAGAAATACAGTACTTTGATCATATAAAATGCCACCACACCGTTATGAAGGAAATACTTGAAAGCATGATGTGGGTCAATAGGGTCAAATAGACAAAGAAGAACGTCGACGTTAGTTAGTCAAGTAAAAAAAACAACAAAAAACTCTGCAACATCATGCCCAAACTGGCTCCACGAAAGCCTTCGGGCATCTCCATAAGACATGATATCATTGTTACTCGATTGTGTGTCGGACACACCTCCCTGACACATAAATACCTCCTACAGGGAGATGTGAAGCCGTTCTGTGTCGGATGCGACCCAGATTTCACCATTAGACACGTCTAAACAGAATGTCCAGACCTTGACGAGTCCCGCACGTGAACGGATAACATCAAGATAATAATAGCAGGTCTGGCTTTAGTATGACAGACTGTATTATAACGGCAGCTAGCGACTGTAAGCACTTAACTAGTGGGTCATTGCATGTCAACCTGTGAGCCAGAAATGACACCTCCAGGTATCCAGATAACACACACACACACACACACACACACACTCTCTCTCTCTCTCTCT